GCTCTACCATTTGAGCCATAGCGCCACTTCCGGCTTTTTTCTTTTTGCTTATGTGGTGCTGAGGAATCGAACCCAGGGCCTCAGGCATGCAAGGCACGCGCTCTACCACTGAGCCACCTTCGCAGCCCTGGATTTCATTCTTAAGGGAGGTTTATTCTAGTGTGATGTTTCTTCCTGTCAGAAATTCAAAGAATATGGACTAGGTATGATGATACACACTTCTAATCCTAACTACTTCACAGGTAGAGACAGGAGGATGGAGGTTCAGGTCAACCCAAGCAAAAAGTTAGCAAGCCCTCTGTTTCAACCAAGTATGGTTGTTGTCCCAGCTAGTGAGAAGGTGGGGGTAGCCGGATCATGGTATGAGACCAGACCAGACAAAATCACTAGACCGTATCTGAAAAATCACTAAAGCAGAAATGCCTCTGTGTGTGTTGTGGGGAGTGGTTAAGGGGGGTTGTGGTAGTAAGAGTACATGGTCCTGTATGCAAACTCTAGGGACAGAGAAAGCCCAAGAAGTATGTCTCCCACCAGCTTTGTTAAAACTTCCCAGCTTCTAGAATTGACTATGGTTCATAACTGCTAATCAAAGAAGTGAGGACTCCCATGCCAACAAGGTAGATAATGCTTTTGGCCCTGCAGCGGCTGGCCACTCTCTGAATGAGGAGAAGGGCTTGACACCTCCAGGGCCATAGTGGGAATTGTGGCCTGCCTTTTCCCACTCCTGAGACCAGAGCTTAGAGAAAGTCAGTGTCATAAGAGAATTAAGCCCCCAGGGAAAAATGATGGTGACGGATTGCTTCAGCCGCAGAATGGCACCAGCCTGGGAACTGACCAGGCTGGAAGAAGGCTGACTTATTTCATTCTATTCTCCATCCTTGTTATGCCTTGGGGGTGGGGAGGGGACATGGAGATCTATCTGAATCTATCTCTTTCTGTATCCATATCTTTCTATGTCTATCTTTATCTATATAGCTATATATATATATATATCTCCATAGAGTTTGAGATAGATTTAGCTCAGCTATATATATATATATGTGACATACATATGCAAACATGCACACATATGTACACATGGTAAATATATACATGTGATATATATAATATGCCACATATAATACATATACACATACACAGATATTAGTGGTATATACATGAGCTATATGTCATGCATACATATATGTTAAATGTACATATCTCATGTATATATATATTTTTACATGTAGATTTGTGGCAAAGATTTTTTGCATAGCCAAACTTTAGTGAGGCTCTTGAGGCTCTTAGGTCCATCTATATAATTCCTCATAAAACCTAGTTTTTGTAAAATCTCTGCAAAATTACTTTAACAAGAACGCTCTAACCTTGAGGCCTGATCATTCAGTATCTGACCAACAACCACCTCCTTCTCCATTATCAGTTGACATCTAGTCACCTTCAGCAAGAAACCTGTGAGGTTTCTTTCATGGGCTTTTTTTTCACACACGCGTTGGGTGTGCCATCATGAAGATTCTCTCCTATCTTTCCTCCTTATAAGAGTCAACAAATTCCCCTTAATAAATCTTTGAGGACACTATTTGTAAAAACTCCAAGTGTGTGTGTGTGTGTGTGTGAGAGAGAGAGAGAGAGAGACAGACAGACAGACAGACACAGAGAGAGATAAAGAGAGAGAATGTATCCCATCAGGTCCCATTTTGTAGGAGCTCTAAATGTATGTGTGTGAGAGAGAGAAAGAGAGGGAGAAAGAGAGAGAGAAGACAGAGAGAGACAGAAAGAATATATCCCATTTCCAGACCTCAGGAACTCAACAGTAGACTGGGTTTTCTTTAGATGTGGGGTCTCCGTATTGGAGGTTTTGACTAGGGAGATAGACCTCTAGTCCTGTCTCAGGTTTCTAGAGTGTTTGCAGACAGTACATCTTCTGGACTTGACATCTCACTTCACTTCCACATTTCCTTGCATGATAAAGTCCCAGATCTACCCCACCTTAGCCTTTCCTCCAAAAGAGTGATATCCCCATAAGCTGAGCATGCTATCCAGTTAAGGGAGGGGCAGGGCTCACCTGCTATTTATATTTGGTTGTGTTAACTTTTCTCTTGTATTTGTGGCTTATGGAGCCTTGTGGTTGAGTGAAGTACGTGGAATCAAACAGGACTTCCTCTCCCTGTGCCTCTCCATCCTGTTGCTTGAAGATGGGACACTAACAGAGGGGGATCTAATAGAGATCACCAGCTTATCTTTCCTAGCTAACTCTGACCTGTCCATCAAAATCTTTTGGAATTCCATTGTGTTATCTCGATCATCCAATAGATTTGGGTCACCTGTGAGTATAAGCATTTGTTTTACACCTGGGCAGAGCTCTATATCTCCTGGAAACTAGAGATGGATTCACTAAACAGGGTCTTTGGATGGTGTTTAATCAGTTATTAACCCATCAGCTTTCACTCACCTCCATCACGTATTATTCTCTTCTCCAGAAGCATCAGGAAGACTTCCAAAAAGAGTAGTACCTTGCAGAATTGGGCTGTATGGGATCACCATCGTTGCCTGTCTAATAACCTTGTTAGAAGTGACCTAACAGCTATTACACGATCTGTCCTGAATCAGGCTACATATGGTTATCTCACTTTCCATATTTATCCCAGATTCTTTCCACAGACTAGTTTTCACAATTTCTTATAATTCTTCAAACCCCAGGAGGATAATTAAGCTCTTCTCACTGTTTTGGGGGCATGCTGAATATAAGTCACAATATGGCAGTTATTCAACTGAATATTTTTCACCCATCTTTAGTTTGTGCTGCTCTTTACTTAATTTTGTGGCTCTTTTTCTCATCTGAAGCTAACTTTCTTTTACAGTAGAGTAAGAATTAAGCTTGAGGAAGTGGACTGCCCCTGAATCATTAATCAATATTACATTAACAGTAGTTCGTATGCCTTAGAACTCAGGGCCTGGGTGCTGTCCCCGAGCATTTTTGCTCAAGGATAGTATTCTGCTACTAGAGTCACAGCTCCACTTTTGGCCTTTTGGTGGATAACTGGGGATGAGTCTCATGGACTTTCCTGCCACAGATGGCTTTGAACTGCATACATCTCAGCTTCCTGAATAGGTAGGATTATAGCCATGAGCTAGTTGTACCCAGCAAAGCCACTAGCACCTGGCATCTTCTTTTTGGTATATGATTGGGCCCCCGTCTTTTGTTATTGCCTGCATTATTAATACCATTGCCAATCTAAAAATTATTATTTTTTGGTAGGGATGTTTATCCTGAGAGTTGGCTTTCCTGACAGAGTTCTTCACAATCAGAGCCATTTTCCTACATCCATTATTGGCAACATCCTCATCTTTGGTAATTTCAAGATTCTAGCCCACAGAAGGAGAACCTATACATCTGCCCCAGTTTTCACTTTGGGGAGCTTTCTGGCTCTCTTTTTCCCTCTTGCCAGGTTTTGTTAGCCACCCACATTTCTAGGCCTAGAGTTTCTGGATTACCTTTTCTATCTCCAGTCCCCTTCCCCGAAGGTTGTTTCTCTGGAGCAGTATCTGTCCTGTTACTTCTGCATTTTGGATCTTGAATTGGATGGAGGATCCAACACTAATTTCCAAAGTATGGAACTAATATTTATAGTTGCTTACTACACACCAGGCACTAACTCTTCAAGATTTCTGTGAGCATGGATATAAAGATGGGTTTTACAATTTCTGGCTTTCTTTGTTTATGATCCTGCTCTGTGCTTGGATAGACACCTAGAGCCGTAAATAGTCTTTGGTCTTCTGACACGCCTCCTCATATGGATCATGAGGCATTTCTGTACCTTTACCATTTTTCCCATGTCAGGTCTACCAGCCTTTGGAGTAATAGGTTTCAAGGATTTATCTGAGTAGTTTTGCCTCTATATTGAATTCTAATTCCGGTCTGTAGAAAGGGCTGTGTCATGTAAAACACTGTTCCTGACCCACTGGGGCTAAATGAAAGATATTACTTTGAAAAAAAAATACATTGGAACTAGGAGCCTGGCTCCCATAAAATTCATTCCAAGCTAAAGGTTTTCAGTTCTTCATGGCTAGTTTCCTAGAATCTTCCAGAGCTCTTGTGAAGAATGCGTTTTTTTTTTAGGCTGACTCCCACAGAGATTTGAATCAGGACCAGGAATTGGTCTATATAAACATTCCTGGTGATGGGGACCAGTCATACAGCACCTCTCTCTCACCTCTGCTGCCTCCTGCTAGTCCTTCTCCTTGAGCTCCCAGTCCTGTGCCTGGCTTTTTGCTGTGCTAACTGCTTCCCTAGGAGGTAAAGTGGGTGAAAGCAGATTCTTGTCTGCATCTGGGGAAGAGACAGGGTTGGCCTGTCTCTTCCTACATGAGGTACTTCCCCGAGTCCCTCTCCTTTCCTTGTTGACTTGGCTTTGAGCTTCTTCACTTTTTATTTTTATTTTTTGGGGTCCGGTCGTGGGGCCTGAACTCTGGGCCCGGGTGCTGTCCCTCAGCTCTTCAGCTCAAGGCTGGCGCTCTACCACTTGAGCCACAGCACCACTTCTGGCTTTTTTCTTTTTGCTTATGTGGTGCTGAGGACTCGAACCCAGGGCCTCAGGCATGCAAAGCAAGCGCTCTACCACTGAGCCACCTTCCCAGTCCCAAGCTTCTTCACGTTTTTGGAGCTCCTTGCTTCCTGGTTTCCTCTGGCCACGTCTCTCTGACACCTTGTGGAGGAGACTTGAGCTCTTTCACTAACTCCTTTAGCCTATGTCAGCTCGTGTTTGAAGTCCTTTCCTAGAAGGTGGAAACTCCTGTCAGTGCTCCCTGCTCAGCTGCGATTTTTGCATGTGGACTCTGACAGAGCAGACAATCAGAGCTTGTTCAAGTTCTGTATAGAGTTCTGTATACGGGATGTGTGGCAGAAGGCAGGACTAGCTTTTCTGCCTTCTCCTTCTTGTAGCCTGGCCACAGGATCTGACTTCCTCACCTAGAAGCCCGCCTCTGTCAAAAGAACATATTTGCCTCTGACTTTCTTTACCTAGCTTGGCTATGTTCTTGGCACTTGGCAGTGACCCAGGACCCTTGAGCTGCCAAGTCTGTCCATCCCTTGTCACATTGCAATCCTTGCCCCATTTCACAGGCAAGACATAATCATGTAGCTATTACCATCAAAACTCTCCAGAAAGATAGGATTTGAACCCATCAGCAAAAAGGCAAAGACACACCACCAATGGCTTTTAGGGAAGACGTGTCTTTTCTCTTTATTTCCATTTCTGTTATATTGTCTATAGTGGATGAGAGGAAAAGCTTTTTGTCCTCTATGGGTCCCTAGGACCCATAAACTGACAGCAGACAGACTAAATAGATAGAACACAAATTTTATGGTGCTTGGAGGAAATGCAGTGTGTGCACCTCTCTTCCATAGAATGCAGAAGGGCGAAGGCAGGCCAATTTCAGGGGAATAGTAAATGATTTTTAGGGGTTCTTAGTGGGCTTGGGGAACATACAGGGTTTCTTTCTGAAGTATGAGTTTGGTTAACAAGGACTCAGGGAAGGGCCAGAGATAATTGTTTTCTTCTTGGAGGAGCTGGACTTTAAGCCAACAGGGAGGTATCGGGTGTAGACTCTTCTTGCATTGGCTGCTAAGTTCATTCGACTTAAAAAAGTATAGCAAACCAGGGTGTCATTTTTCAGGGTTACAGTGGCTGGACTTCTTCACATTTATCCCTCTATAGAACTGCAGGAGCCTGGGTGTGGCATGGAGCCTGATCTGGGGGCTCTAATATAGCCTACATATTTGGCTCCAATTGCCAGTGTCATGGGAGGCTGGACTTACTAACAACTCAACATCGGGCTGGGAAGGTGGCTCAGTGGTAGAGCGCTTGCCTTGCATGCATGAGGCCCTGGGTTCGATTCCTCAGCACCACAGAAGCAAAAAGAAAAAAGCCAGAAGTGGCGCTATGGCTCAAATGGTAGAGCGCTAGCCTTGAGCTGAAGAGCTGAGGGACAGCGCCCAGGCCCAGAGTTCAGGCCCCACGACCGGACCCCCCCCCATAAAACAACAAACAAAAAAAACTAACAACTCAACATGTGTTGGCTTTAAGAAACTCAATATGGAAAGACAAATAGCTGAGAAGTATGCTCATATAGACCAACTATACTTGGTATTCACAACTTAAATATAGATAAGATGATTTGTGTAACTACCAAAGGGATGGTAGATAAAAAAATACAGCTCACAAAAGAATGATATCGTACATCTCTCTGGGGTGAGTACTAAGTGCTATGTATAGTCTGGAGTCTTTCCTTCTCATCTTTTTCCAATCTACCTTCTCTTCTCCCTCATTTTCTCAAGGTTGATAGGAAACATAGTCAGCAAATAACTTTCAGAGTCCTGCTTATGGTTATTTAGTCAAATGCTCACATTTCCTAGCCATCATTGACTTCGAAATGGTTCCAGTTTTTGGAGCTCCATGAGAGTACACATGTGGACAAGAGCTCCAAATAAAAACCCATTTTGCTGATGAATACTCATAATCTGGCTCATGTGTGCCTGACTTCTACTTCTTTATCCTTTCTTTTAGGATTTCTGGATATTTTATTTGACCACATTTGAGGTTCAAAATATAGCAAGCAGAGAGAGGAGCAGAAGGGGATATAACAAAAAATCCAATTTATTACTACCATGACTATAGATGTGAATAAATCGGTGAATTGGTGATGGATTGATCACACTGAGGCTGGACTTACGTGATTAATAATGGTGAAAAATGCTGTTTAGCCATTCATCTCTAGCACCTTAGAGGGAGGGGGCTTTGATTTTATTGGGTACAATATTAACTCCCTAAATGTAATCTTGTCAAAGTTTGTACTGCATGGCTCCTAGTTGTTGCTACAAAGGTTCACTGAATTGATTTTCTTTTTGGTGGTGGTGGGGGTCTGGCTCTGAGACGGGGCTTGTTTCAAATGCATGCTGAGATGTTATTGGAGGGAGTCCAGTCCCCTTCATTGTTCTCCCCATGAGCTTCTAGATATGACCTAGAACCCAGGGAACTAGTATGTAATCTGGGAAAGAAATGACCTATGTTCCGAGGGGGGGGGTGAAGGGTGGGGGTGGGGGAACAGAGCCTGTGTTCATAGAACAAGGATAGGAAGACTCACAAAAATAAGGAAGAGATAGGCAAGACTGAGGAAGATACCTGTGCCAACACTTTGCTGAGGCCTGTTTTTCTGAGGCGAGATGGGTGGTGGAGTTAACTTGCTACTCAAATATGATTTAGGATGGCTGGCCTATCTGTCAGTATAAGAGGTAGTACTCACACCCTCATTCCCCTTCCCCCTTTGCCCCATGAACAACTATAAAGCCACTGAGGGTCTTAGCCATGAGATCCAGGCAGGATGCAGTCTTTCTTACCAGACTTCTTGTAGGCCCATGTCGTCTGACTGGCCTGGTGTCTTAGGGAGTGAGTTTGTGTCATCCCAGAGGGGCGAATATCCAGGGAAGAATCAATTTCGGAAAAGTCCAGGTCAGAAAGAGAAGAGACTTGAGAAAGCAGTTTAGAACGGAACATTGCTCCCTGAGAGGTGCTGGCTCCTGAGAAGCTGTCAGAGCAGAGCACAGGAGCTGGTTAGTTTCTGGTCAGAAGCCAGGTTAGGGAACCAGGCCTATGGCATGCTGGGAGTTTGAAGGAGTGATGGTTCCTACAGACTTCAGCTAGTCTCAGCTAGTCTCAGCTGCAAGACTAGAAGAGACAGACTTGTGGACAAATGGGGAATAAGCATTTGTGATCTCGGGCAACAGAGTCACAAATTGCCAAATGCCACTTTACTAAAAAAATGAACAATACATGGTTGCTCTCAAAGTGTACTGGGCCAGACTTCTATCACTGACTGTGAGATATTCTTGGACATTCCTCCTCTTTCCTGGCTCACAACCCTGATCTTCCCAGTGGCTTGCTCTGTTTCATCATTATAATAGACAGAATAGAAAGACCACTGATGAGGATGCCACCAACGTTTAAAGTGTAAAGGTGGGTGACCCAACATGAAGACCTCCTCAATCACACACTCATGTCTCCAGAGCTGTTTAGCCATACATCTCTAGCACCTTAGAGGGAGGGGGCTTTGGTTTTATTGGGTACAAAATTAAGTCCCTAAATGTAATCTTGTCAAAGTTTGTACTGCATGGCTCCTAGTTGTTGCTACAAAGGTTCACTGAATTGATTTTCCACAGATATTTCATCAGTTGTCTAGGTTGCGTCAAGCCCCCTGTCTTGGGATTTTACCTGAATGTGAATTTAGACCTTGGAAATAAACTTGACCATATTCTTTCCCTGGATAGGCTGCAACCTGTCTGTGATCATCCAATAAAACACCACCAGTAAGCATTAGTTCTGAGCCCTTTGCTGTCTGTCCCCAGATGAAACTTTCCACACCTAGGTGGATCTGCCCGTTCATCTCTGGAATATCTTCCCCTGTGAACAACTATGTGGCAGAAGTGAACAAGGTTGTGGTTTCTAGAGGTCTACCACTAAGCCCCTCCCCCTCCCAGTTTCTTGGGGGAACTGCTCCCTGAACCCTAGTTTACCCCCTTCTCATCTTGGAGCTTCAAAGGTTTCTGAAACATCAGCCCTAAGTATAAGTTTCCACCTGTCTTATCCCCAAAAGAAAAAAAAATATTACCTTGGTGTGATTTTTGAAGGATGCATCCTGAATTCTATTGAAAGAAAAAAAACACAGAAAAACATTATTGGCAAAGAGAAAAGAAGTTCCTATTATTCAGAAAAGTCTTGCTAAGGTTGTGATGCTAAGATTGAAGTAGAAAAATCTGGATTATAGAAAATTTCTATTTTTACCTCCATGTTTTCTCTCTGTAACTATTCTGAGGCTTATTTTATTTTCAGTTTTTTAAATGAATTTGTTATTGGTATTATAAAGGTGTCGTATAGAGGGGTTACCGTTACCCAAGGCAGGTAATGAGCTCATTTCCTTTTGGACAATCTCCCTGCTTCTCTTGCTGTCCTCCCAGTTTTTCCCTCCCATCCCACCCACAAGTTGTACAGTTCATTTTCAACACAGTGTCTAGTGAGTGCCATTGTTGTGTCGGTTCACCCTGTGTCTCTCCATTTCCTCCCCTACCTCCCCTTCAAAGACAGATGAATGAACAAACAAGACAAAAAGAAAAGAAAACAAAAACAACAACAAAGAAAAATCCTCTCGTTTCCACTTCCTGATATTCTGAGGTTTAAATGGCATAAAATTGGAGAGGAGGTCGGGTGCTGGTGGCTCATGCCTGTAATCCTAACTACTCAAGAGGCTGAGATCTGAGGATCGTGGTTCAAAGCCAGCCTGGGGGGAGCTGGGAAGGTGGCTCAGTGGTAGAGCGCTTGCCTTGCATGCATGAGGCCCTGGGTTCGATTCCTCAGCACCACAGAAGCAAAAAGAAAAAAGCCGGATGTGGCACTGTGGCTCAAGTGAAAGAGCGCTAGCCTTGAGCTGGAGAGCTGAGGGACAGCACCCAGGCCCAGAGTTCAGGCCCCCCCCCCCACCAAAAAAAAAAGCCAGCCTGGGCAGGAAAGTCTCTGAGACTCTTATCTCCAATTAAATGTTCAGAAAATGGGAAGTGTTTCTGTGGCTCAGGTGGTAGAGTGCTAGCCTTGAGATGAAGAGCTGAGGGACAATGCCCAGACCCAGAGTTCAAGCCCTACAACCGACAAAAAAAAAAAAAACACAAACAAAAAACAAAACAAAACTGGAGAGGACTCAAGAAGATAACTTTCAAGAAATTGTGGTTCCTGAGTATCCAAGTACTCTCTGCTTATTTCTTAGAAAATCACTAATACATCTTTCTGTCATAAGCTGAAGGACATCTGTTTAGCAGAGGTGGCCGAAGGGCAGGCAGAATAAATATATTGAGATTTATTTTTTAATTTTAAGGAAGCTGCTTATGTCACTTAACCACCTGAATGTCTGCCTTGAGTGACACTATATAAGGAATTTCATGTACAGTTGGAAGAAAATACTCCATCAATTCCAGTAATAAAGAGCAACCCAGGGAAAGCAGGCAAGAAATGACTTGAATTTAAAAGTTAAATATTTAACACATTTTTCTGTCATTTCACACGTGGGATTGAATCTTATTAAGACTATCACCTGGTTGTTAAAGTGATATCTAAAACTTAAGTGAAATTACAATAGTCACTTAGGAAAGCAAACTCCAAACTTGTGTACACAACATGTTTTAAATAGCTAAAACAAAACTACCAAACAAAATCCACATGGATCAAGTATCCATATAAGAAGGTCAGGAAGACCAAATTAAAAATGATTTCTAAAATGTCTGTTTGATTTTCATGTGAGTAGGTTGGGGGAGATTTTTTTTTACCTTTCAATTTTTCAGCTTTCTCATTTTTAAGTAAATATGTTCTTTTCTTTTAAAATCGAAATATGCACAAACATACTAAAAAGCAGAAAGAAAGGATGAATGAATGAAGAGAGAAAAGGATAAGAGTGATGAGGAAAGGCTTATGTTATGGTTCATGATCTTGAATTCTTCACCACTTCTGTAACAGAAAGCTCTTCATTTATGAAATAGGAGGGTGTGTGTGTGAATAATGGTTGGAAGGAATTAAAGCCAGTAGCAATTGTGAAATGCATACGAACAACTATGGATAGTATTCACTGATATTTTGGGATAAGATCATGCAGAAGTGATTGCAGTGGTGCTGGAGGTGCCTGGTCCTGGGCTTTTCCATCCCCATATCAGTTGCCGACTCCAGGTCATAAACTGACAGCCTTCCTGTATGAAACGTCAGCTGTCTTTCCATGCCTTGTAAGAATATCTTTGTCCAGTGGCTCATGCCTATAATCCTACTCAGGAGGCTGAGATCTGAGGATCCTGGTTCAAAGCCTGCCTGGGCAGGAACGTTCGTGAGACTCATCTCCAATTTACAGAAAACCAGAAATGGTGCTATGGATCAAGTGGTAGAGTGCTTGCCTTGAGCTGAAGACCTCGGGAACAATGCTCAGGCCCAGAGTTCAAGCCCCACAACTGACAAAAAAAAAAGAAAAATCTTTGGAATATTCCTTCTTGGATACTTGGAACTTGTACGTTTCCTAAGGGCAATGGGAGTTGGGATGCCAACTCTCAAATGGGAATGGAAATCCAGTTATGGTAAGAGCTGCCTAGGAAGAGCGAGCAGGGGGAAAGAAAAATCAAATCCAGCATATTTTTAATGAAAATACTAGTAGGTAAAAACTGTATGAATCCAAGTCATTCTACTGTTGAGGTCTCTGTAGCATTACTTACTACAGAACAGAATCTGTTATAAAGAAAGTTTTGGATTACTTCTGTAAAGAGTTCCATTCTGCATCCCTTTTTGCTTAGTAAGATGGGCTATAGTCCTTTCTGGAACATTGCTTCTTGTGAGATCAGAAGACTATTTTTTTTTAATAGATTACAGGTCCTGTGGCATGGAAAGCTTTCAAAGCATTTTCAGGTATATTACTTCATTTAATCAACACAATCACACTGAAGAAAGGTGGTAGTTTGTGTGTGTGTGTGTGTGTGTGTGTATGCATGTGCGTGTGCTTGTGTGTGTGCCAGTCCTGGGGCTTAAACTCAGAGCCTGGGTCCTTGAGCTTTTTTTGCTCAAGGCTAGTGCTCTACCATTTGAACCACAGTGCACTCTGGCTCTTTTATTTTTTTGTGCTTAATTGGAGACAAGTCTCATGAACTTTCCTGCCCAGACTGTCTTCGAATTGTGATCCTCAGATCTCAGCCTCCTGAAGAGGTAGTATTACACGTGTGAGGCAAGAAATCACCAAGAAAGGTAATTTTTATCTCTGAGGAAATGAAACTATAGAGAAAATGGGTGACATGCCATCATGGCCACACCATGACATTTGCTATATATAGCCAATCTATCCAGTGCGCTACATCCAGTCAGCATTTGAAACCCTCAGTCAGATGGGACTCTCGTTCCTCATGGCACCTGATGCTGTATTTCTACTCTAGGCCCACATGTAAATTTGTTGGATTACGCCACAAATCAAAAGGTGATGTTCTTTAAAGAAATGATGTTGGTCTGACTTAACGTGATTCACCCAGAGCCATAGAATAATATATAATACTAATAATAGCCAGTATTTACAGAGTTTTAAATTGCTATGTACCTGGCAAAGCTCATGTTATGTGCCTGGTAGAGCCTTATACAATTTAACCGCTTTAATAATCACATAGATCATGTAGGGTAGGACTATTGCTATTATTGATTTCAGTGAAGAAAATCAAGATAGAGAGATTAAGTGGCTTTTCCAAGTTCATGACACTAGTAAATGAGAGGCACCTGGCACTCAAAGTTAAGCAGACAAGCTTCCTAAGAGAGAAAGGAAAATGTGCTCATTGAGGCAAAATCCTCTGTGCTACAAAGAAAGCAAATAAATGGCAAACTTAATCTCCCTTCACTGTCGGATTCTATAGTAGACATTACCATAGAATCACAGTATTCTTTCATGCTGGCCCAATAGGGTCTTTGAATCATCATTGACCTCCTGTAATTAGCCCATCAGAGTGAGAGATGGGAGCCCATTGTTATTTCCAGAGCTTATTTTGTAAGTGCCAATTAATTTGTAAAGTTGGTTTTTAAAAGTAAATGTGTGTTTGTGTGTCTGGCTTTATAAATTGGATTTGATCACTTGATTGAGTTTGCATGGATTGAACAACTGCTCTGGTCAGGAGGTCACTCTTCTAAGCACTGAGGTTCAACTCACAGAATTATATCTTAAAGATATGAAGAGAATATTCATTCTATCTCAAGCAATCTTGATATGAATTCTTTGGAAAAGCTGAGAATTCTTTTGCAATCCCTTTCCTACCTTGTTTTGCATAATCCGGCTTGGTACTTTGGGTTTGCATAGCCTGAGGCATTCTTTCCTGTGCCTTTAAAGTCATTTTAGCATTCACCTACAGTTTTTTTTTTTTTGCAGTATCTTTCTAGTTTTTGCTAGCAGGTCATTTATTTTCAAAGCTTTTGCTTTATACACAGTTTCATTCACTTGACAACATTATATTTGTCCTAGTCTAGCAGGGTAATATATTTACAAAGATACGGCACACAGAAGGGACATGTTAAGAATACTTGATTCATACTGTGCAAAGGAAAAGCCCTGAATGCTATTTTTCAGTATTACAATTACAGTTGGTACTTGACCAGCAGGGATATTAGGATCCCAAGAGGAAGCTTAAGAGTAGAGTCACACAGAGAAGAGTTTTCTCAGCAACAGAGCAATTACCTCTGACATGTAACAACTAAGCTTCTGCGAGGGTAGCAGGAATGGAGGACAGTACATCTAATTCTATGGAGAAGGACGTAAAGGTAAAATCCTTGTGTGATGACTGATAATATCCTGCTTTGGGGATGTAGGCTGTATACAATCAGATTAAAAAATTTTAAATTCAAGCTGCTGGAATGCTTGTAAGTTGGCAGCAGAACTTGATCCAGAAAGAAAAAAAGAATTTTGTTCTGCTTCTAGGTCAATATTAAGATGATGCAGATGGCCTGGATTTTTAACATTTCTGTACCTGGCTGGATATAGCAGTGAAATCTTTGTTTCAGGAAAGGCACCACATGGACCTCTGTGGAAAACCACATCAGCCCTCCACCAGCAAACCCTATAAGGAGGCTGCCATCAGTAATAGAACCCAACTCAACAAAATGTTGTCCATCACAAAAACAGTTTTGAAAAAAATGTCAATCCTGCCATGACAGCTAACACTTCAAAAGTCAGCTGCTCAGTAGCATAGATTCCTTCCAGTGGGGCGAATGACCACCCCCGGAAGCATTCTAAGGCCTGGAAACGTAGTATCAGAGAATAGAAAGGTACTCTAAGAGGTAGAGACCACTGAAAAAAGTTAGCTGTATGGTTGTTACCAAAGTGTTGTTTTTAAAAGTAACAATAAAAGATCAGTAATAGGAGATGGATTGAAATATGGTGACTGGGCTTGAGAAGGGTGTTGGGGAGTGGGAATGAAGAGAGGATGGTTAGTTCAAGAAGAGGAACAGCCTTCAATGTTCTATAGCAATATAGGGTAACTATAGTTGACAACAACTAATTGAATATTTTGAAGTAGTTAGTACAGAGGTTTTGAATGCTCCCAACACAAAGGAAGGACATATATACTAAGTGGTAGATTTAATATCTGATCACTAAACATTTATTGCATTCAATAGATGGAACATTACACTGATCTCATAAATATGTACAATTATTTTCTGCCAACTAAGCAACAGAGAATATTAAATTTATAAAGTGTGATATTATATTTATTTAAGTACATGATATTAGCATATGATCACAATGTACAAATACCTAAGTATACCTAAAATATTACATAATGTAATATCCTTTGACAAAAGGTGGAATTTGGGAGGGAGGTATGGCTCAGCAGTAAAGTACTTGTGTAGCAAGTGCAAAGTTCTGAGTTCAAACTCAGGAATTTTTTGGTACCACCAAATATGAAAAAAAAAGTTGAGGTTGTCATTCTGGTAATCAAGAAAAGACCAAAAAACCTCAGTCCATAAATGACATATATGTATATGACTAGTCAACCCAACCCACACACTCACACATGCACGCACATGCGCGTGTACACACACACAATAACTCAGGGGAGCATATAACCAGTGTGAAAAAGTGATTGTCATCTCTGAGTGGTGCTGACTTTTGTTTTATTCTTCTTTTTTAAAATAAGTGGTTTCTCATCCTGTATATACAGGGAACTCAAGAAACTAATCCCTCCCAAACCTAACAAACCAATTACTAAATGGGCAAGGGAACTAAAGAGGGACTTCTCAAATGAGGAAATGTTCATCATCCCTGGTGGTGAAGGAAATGCAAATAAAGACAACCCTGAGATACCACCTTACCCCAGTCAGAATGTCCCACATCCACAAGTCAGCCAACGACAAATGCTGGAGGGGATGTGGAGAAAGAGGAACCCTATTACACTGCTGGTGGGAATGTACACTTATACAACCACTTTGGAAAGCAGTCTGGAGGGTCCTTAGAAAGCTAAAGATTGACCTCCCTTACGACCCAGTCATACCACTTCTAGGCATCTACCCTGAACAACAGGAACCAATATACAAGGACACGTGCACCTCCATGTTTATTGCAGCACTGTTCACAATAGCTAGGATATGGAAACAACCCAGATGCCCCACGACAGATGAATGGATCCAAAAATTGTGGTATCTATACACAATGGAATATTATGCAGCCATTAGAAATGACAAAATAATGGCATTTGCAGGGAAATGGATGGAGCTAGAAGGAATCATGTTGAGCGAGGTAAGCCAAGAGCGAAGAGACAAATGGTACATGGTCTCCCTGATAAGTGGATGCTAAATCCAAAATGTTAGGTGATACGACAAAACTTAAGAAACAAAGAACTCCTGCTCATCTGGTTGAACCACTACTAAATATCCCCATGCTGCTGATCACATGTATGGTGTATAACATGTGAACACTGTTATATATTACAGACTATGATAGACAATTTGCTCCAGGAAAGTTAGAATGAACTTGTGACTTAGAAATTATGTAATCACTTAATCACAATCAAAAAAAAAAAAGAACTTCGGGGAAGGGAGGGAGGGAGGGGATGGTAGGGGGAAAACAATGGAGGGGCTAACAATGTTCAAGAGGAAGTGTACTCATTACCTCACTCATGTAACTGTAACCCTCTGTATAGTATCTTTACAATAAAAAAAAAGTGGTTTCTAAAACACCCACAAAGAACATGTATGATTTGTACAGTAAGGGAAAGAAGAGATGCAAGCTTTTTATGTTCATGAAGTTCCTCTGTCTCCTCTTTCCTCACATTCCTTTGAGGTACAGCCAGTGGAACTGTCCTAACAGTCTTCCTACCTGTCAGCACCAACTAGAGAGTTGGCATTTCCCTGTTATCTCAAGTTCGTCCCTTCTTCCTGGGCATCGTGTGAACTACCATCCTTCATACAGATACTACTTCATACAGATTCTCTCCCTTCCACACCTTCTCTAACACACACTCTCTTCTCAGAATACTCACCCCTTTTAATAATCTTTTCAATGTCTTCTTTTCTATCCTCTTCCTCCTTCATATATTTGCCTTTGAATGGATACTTGCTTCTTTGCAGATACTTTTCCTTCTCCAGATACTCTTCCTCTTCCAGATTCTTCTTTGGATGTTTTTTTCTCTCCTTCAGACGGTGTTTCTTTCCCATAGGCTTTTCCTTTTGCAAAAGCTCTTCCTCCTTTAGAAGTTCTTCATCCTTCAAAATTTCTATGATCTCCAGATGCTCTATGTTCCTTAGATGCTCTCTGACTCTGAGATCATCTTCTTCCTCAAGATAGGCATCATCTTCAGGTTCTTCATCTCCAAGAAGCTCTTTATCTTCAAGAAGTTCTTCATCTTCAAGCTCTTCACCTTCAAGAAGTTCTTCATCTTCAAGAAGCTCTTCACCTTCAAGAAGCTTTTCAAGAAATGTGTTATCTCCTGGAGATTCATCTCCTAGAGAGTCTTCGTCTCCTAGAGAGTCTTCAGCTCCTAAAGACTCTTCATTCTCATGAACATCTTCATCCTTGAGATGCTCTTCATCGGCAAGAGGCTCTCCCTTCTCCAGCGATTTCTCCTTTTCAGTAGGTAAAGACTCATCCTGTGGACTGTCTTTCTCAAGCTCTACTTCAATATTCTCTTCCTTTGAAAATAAGTTCTCTCTGGAAGGTTGGGGAGTTGTGGAAGAGGGAGAAGATGACATGTCTGGTGGCAGATTATTTTTTATCAGACATGTTGGAGAAGCATTAAGTGGATGAAGCCTTCCAGCAGCAGGAAGTCACTTTACCATCCTGGTAACCAAGAGAAGAATAACATTCCATTAGTCAGTGACAGCCAAAAGAAAAGCCATTTGAACCCATTTGTGTTCACTTACTTCATTCATTAACCTTAGAGGGTCCTATAAGGGTGAGGATTGTCTGCAGTATCTATAAAAGGACCCCCCAAAAAGAGTTCCATAACTCTTTATTTTTTCTGTAGGTCGTGGGGCCTGAACTCTGGGCCTGGGCACTGTCCCTTAGCTCTTCAGCTCAAGGCTAGTGTTCTACCACTTGAGCCATAGCACCACTTCCGGCTTTTTCTGCTTATGTGGTGCTGAGGAATCGAACCCAGGGCCTCATGCATGCAAGGCAAGCACTCTACCATTGAGCCACCTTCCTAGCCTCTCCATAGCTCTTGATAGCCCTTTCCATAGCTGGTTGGGGAGACCATATTGAGAGATAAAGACTTGAAATTATTGGACAACTTGAAGTAAATTAGGAGGGCTGGAAAGTGATCAGTGTTCAGTAATCTCATTAGAGAACATTTACATGTGTGTAAGAAGTACTTATTGCCTCAATGAAGACAAGTTCTCTTGAGATCTGGGTAGGAAAAGCCATACATACAGAACCTGCCTTGTAAATGTAAATGTGGGAAAAAATAGTCAACTACAGGAATTGGTGAAGAGAAGAGGCATGCCTCACAGATAGCTCTATACGTCTGTGAGGTTGATGGTAGGAACTAACCATACCTGCCAGGGCCAGGAGAAAGTGATGTGCAGAGATGAGGAGAACTATACAAGAAAAGGCAGAGTGTTAAAGCCCACTATTAAACACTTTGTTGAGAGGGGGTGTCAAAGGACTAAATTTGGACACATTTATTTGCAGACCAAATTAGCTTTTACTTATAATTTATGAATCTGGGCATGCTCTATTTTACAAAATAGAACGAGAACTCCTACCAGGCAATTGCACAATAGTGGGTTTTATAAGAATTGGGGGAAAGTGATTAATTCACATTGGTTTATTTCAAGTTATGTTAAAGTTAGAGTCTAAGCGATGTCCTCATTTGGACTCATGTAGCCTGGAATCTTTGTTTTCAGGAAAAGTGAAATAATTTAGAGACCTAGCTGCTTCTTTAAAATTTCAGTTCAATTATGTACCATTGACCACAAGTAACTCTATTCTGGTTGTTCTATTGTGTTCACTGGTTACTAGTGCAGAAACTCAGTCCACAATGGCCTCCTATCATTTTTGTTTGGTACTGGTAAATGCTAGGCATGTTAACAAACCACAGATATTGGCAGCTTTATTGTCATTGTCTTGCTCTTTGGTTTGTTGTTTTATGGCCTTATGCTGTGCTGTGCTGTGTATGTGTGAGTGCATGCGTGCGTGCGTGCGTGTGTGTGTGTGTGTGTGTGTGTATGTGCAGGCTGTCTTTCTCAAATGCTTTTTGGAGGAGATGAGGCATAAATAACACATGATTGGTGGTGTAGGTAGCTGTCTTTGGGACGAAGAATGTGCTATGAGGAAGTATTGGGACCGAATTCTATGTCTACAGAAAGCATTCCCATTTATTTATTCATTTATTTAATGTGCTTATTTTGGCAGCACTGAAGTTTGAACTCAGGGGCTCATGCTTGCTAGTTACCTACTGTACCAAAAGAGCCATACCGTTAGCCTTTATTTATTTATTTATTTTTGTTATTTAGTGGCTAGGGCTAGCCTTGGACTGTGTCGCCTTCCTAGCTGTTCTTCTCACCTATACCTCTTGTGTAGCTGAGATTACAGGCATGTACCACCATTCCCAGACACTTCTTCGATTTAAAGAAAGTTGATCCAAGCTTTCTTTGACTTAAAAATTAAACACTCTAGCCATGATCGCTATCTACTTCTATTCTTATGGTTCTGATGTCTTCCCCATAAGCCCAGAGTCAGGGGTGGTGAAAGGAATTGGAGAGGATGATAAATATTCCTTGCTTGACCAAACTTTAGTCAGTCTTCTGAGCTTTCTTTCAGATCTATAATATACGTCCTTGTAAAATCCCACATAGCAAGGACTTGGCTAAATTGGTTTAACAAGAACTTCTTCTGACTGGAGATGTGATCATCTTCAATGTCTGACCAGGTTCCTCATCCTCCACCATCTCTCAGGTGAGGTCTGAACTCCTTGGCCTGTTTTCAGCAACAATCCTGTCAGGTGGGGGATTAGCCAGAATGCCCTTGGTTCCCAACGTTTCATAAACTTCCACCTGTCACATGACACACTGATGTTTGTTTTCTGTTTACTCATCCTACTCTATGGATGCTCAGAAATTCCCATGGCCTATGTTGTATTCAGAATCAGCCCCGTTTGATACTGAGGTCTCTTTTTTCCTATGGCAATAGTGTTGAATAAAATGTTTTTCTTAACGAGTTCATGGCTGTTCTAGTTTTAGTTTTCTTGAAGTGTGGGCCTGTGCAGGTCTACCTAGGATGGGTGGAGGGTGCACATGGGCACATCCATTCTATCCAAGGCTTACACTTCAGGATTTCCAGCCTTTCAGGATTTTTAGCTGCTTATAAGATCAAAATAAATCAGCTGGGCTCCTGGACAAACCAGATTGTATTCATCAACAGCATGCTGTCATTCAGGGTTATGATTCTTTTCTTTCCATTTTCTCATCAGGCCTTCTATACATATGGAAAAAAAGAGGTTTAAGCAGCTGCATTCCATTCCAAAGGTCGGAAAAGAAACTGCATCCTGAACATCTTCCCTTTAAATCTCCCAGAGATTTGGAAGGAAAAGCCTATCGTCAGAAATAAATAGTAGTAGCAACCTTAAGCCCAGTGCCCGAGACAAACATCCTTCCTCTAGTTTGTGATTCAGATCTTGATGCATTTTGATGAAGGTTTTAGACAGATTGCAGGTTCATTTCTGTGGTGACAACAGAACAAGCTACGTGTTTGTTACTGGATATTGTACCTCTTTAAGCTCTAGGCTAGCCTCACTTCCCAAGACGGTGGCTTCCATAGAATATCAAGCCAGCAGACATTCTGATTCAGTTATTGATTTTTCTAAACATAGGAGCAAAAATTTAGAATCTGCAGAATTCACAAAGAATAGAAATTTCTGGCTTCTCTTAGATCTAGGAGTTGATCCTGGGCTGTCTTTCTCATATGGAAGCACTGATGTTTGAATCAAGTCTGTATTCTTCCTATGAGATGTGTTCCCTCTCTTTTTCTGCCTTAGTCTGTGATTTTTCAATTGTCACCTGGCTTATCGTTACAAATGATCTTTTGTTTATCCTATTTTATTTTTATATTGGAGAAATGATTTTTATCTGCTCCCATGTTTCTACCAAAAGTGAGAAAACAGATTCCGGAACAAGTGCTCTGATTCTTCTCTCTCTTGGAGGTTCTCTTTCTGGCTCCATTTGGTGGTGGTAAGTGACATGTTCACACAAGTCACCATCCATGGATATAGCATAGTGTTAGGTACTTAATAGCCACTCGTTAAAACCTGCTGACTGAATAAATGAACAGCAACAAGAGTAGTAGTAATGAACCATATGCTTTGCCTTGCATATTTACTGGTTATATGCACACACTACTTAATGAAGGAGGTGAAACTTTATGTCCAGGTCAATACACACCACCAGACCTTCCACACTGTGCATAGGAAATGAGAGGTTGATGGATTTCCTCACAGTGAAGTTTGTTTGTAGGTCCTGTTTTTTATTCTAAGGTGGATATTCTTTGTGGAAATAAATGAGGAGACATAAATAGCTAAGACAAACAAAACAGAATACTCCTCTGCAAATGGCTGATTTAACGATGAGACTGAAAAGAGGACACATAACTCTTGCCGTAGTGCCTGGAGGATGCTGGCTGTAGCCCTCCATCTTACGGATGGTCACTGAGCAGCAGGTGCTGGGGAAGGGGTTTCCGTTCCACGGCAGTGGTACTGCTAGGCCCTTTCATCCTCACAGCTAGCCCTGATATAGTCCATATTACTTCTACTTCATTGGTAAGGAAAGGAGGCTTGTATTTGGAGGGTCAAAAAATATAGGAAGGAAAGAATGTTTTCTGAGTATCAAAAATGAACCAAAGTGGGCATGAAGGGGATCTTTTTTTTGGTGGGGGGGCTGGAAAAACCAAAATAGGACGTGAGGTCGTGAAGATCATAGCTGTTTCCATGTTCAGCTGGCTGCTCAGGCTTTCCACCTACCTTCCCTGGCACCCTGAGGCCTCTCTCTTTGACCCCTGATATCTCTCCCCTGACCCCTGAGACTCCTCCCCTAGAATCTGAGTTCCATCGCTTTCCACCCACTGACCCTTCTCCTCTCAGTTCCTTGAGGGGCGCCTCCTCCTGAGACGCCTGCCCACTCAAGGTTTCCCTTTTCTCTTAAGGGGTGGTTCAGAGAGGGTCAGTCTCCATCTGGCTTGCTCGCTGCTTAGGAATTCCTGATGTCTGGTACATCTCCTCACTTCTCCCAGGCCACGACAGTGAACTGTCCAGATTTGGCTTTTAGTCTGTGCTACAGCTGCTGGTGTAGTGCTTGGAGCTGCAGAGCACTTCCCAGTGCCCTATGTGCATTCTGCATCCTGGCACCGTGGACAGCCAGCATCGGCACTTGCCTGTTACATGGTAAGTGCTAAGCTTCAGAGAAATCAAATGACTCCCTAAGGTTAGATAAGTAACATGTGGCCACCTTAGGGTGTGGACTCAGGTCTGGGGTCCCCAAGTATGGTGTGGTCAGTGATCATCAGGGTGGAGGGACAGGTTTTCAGAGATGGGGCCCCTTCCTTGGGAACTTCCCCTAGGCTTCCTTCTTGAACTGGCTTTGTCGCTTAGTCTCTTCTGCACACAGGAGTTAAATAATAATCCTCCTTGATAAGAAGAGTAAGAGTGGGTGGTGGGAGGGGAGAAAGGAGCAGTAGCTCTGTCCTTTAGGTAGAACTTACC